AGTAAATTATGTTACGTTTATGATAGATCATTTAATAAAGTTGTTAAATAATAGTTATCACGAGAATTGTATCATATATTAGGGCCAGACCTCCCTTTCCCTCTGCAGACACCAGGAATTCTACATTCAATGTCAAACTTCAGAGAAATGCTTATTTGACAAACTTTTCAAAAGCTTTAATTTATTTTAATTTATACAAAATGAGACGATTTGTTGTGTTTTATGGCATATTTAAAATGCACACAAATCCAGTAATTTATTAAATATTCTCCAAATTCTAAGTAATCGCTAGAATTGTGCGAAAATATTTCGACCAAAGATTTATTATTTCAAACAAATCTGTCATTTCTCTCAAGTTTCACAACAACTATTGAAAATAATCTAACGATTCATTTGTTTTGATAATTCATTTTTATTAGAAACTTCAGTAATAATGTGTTAACACAATCGTAATTAAAAGTGTCGAAAAGTTTTACATTTTGGAGATGTTTTATATTGCAAAACAATTATCAGAGTTTAAACAAATTATATTTATGTTTAAATGACAAAAAATATTTTACGAAATGTTATTGTAATTGGAATAAATCGAAATAAAATACAAAACTTTAAATCAACACCAAATCTTTGGTAAATATTTATCAAAATGTATCAAAAAAGTAATTATAGAAAAACGTGCCGTACATTAAACGGATTCACAAGACTATTGCAATCACATATTGATTCATAATAATCCTAACAACGATTAATAGATGTGTGAAATTCAAATCTCCAAAAAAACTTAACAATTATTTTGATTGCAATAAAATTCTCAATTTTTATCATAAAAATTAACTGAAACATCAAAATAAAACAAATATTTGTATTATCGATAATTGGCACAAGTATTAAGTGATTATAATGTATGCATTTGTGTAAAAAGTAATAACTAAAAAATAGCTCTGAATTTGACTTTTTAAAAATAATCGACAAAAATATTCTCAAATTTTTAATTCGAGGAAAATTATAAATGAAACGATAATCAAATGACAAAAAAATGGATGACTCGAGTGTGTGTTCAAAGGAAATACAATTTGTCTGCGAGCACTTCCGCCGGTGACTTCTTGATGACCTGCCCGACCATATTGGCCGCCTTGTGGGCGTACTATTCAATACACAAAAAACACAATTAACAACACATTTAATACATAATAAAACCCGAATACAAGCCATACCTGACAGGGAGCGGGCACTCGGATAGTGCCGAACCAGTTGTAGTAGAGGTGAGTCATCTTATAGGCAATCTTCTGCATCCGGTCGGGAGGCATGGCATTGGTGTCGTGCACCACGATATAGTGGGTGGGAGTGACGGTTCCCTGAGTCACGTATTGTGAGATCAGATAAAAGTCGTAATAGTTATTACGAGTGATGGAGTGGTCGACGACAGAGCCGGGCGGAGGGTTGTCCAGTTCGGCGCCCCTTTTCATCAAAAGTTTAGCGTTTATGCGCTTCTGGACCACAATATACGACACCTGCGGGACGTAGTTATTGTAGGCGGCGCCGAAGTCCTGCAGAGCGTTCAGCAGTTGCACGACTTCGTAGTCCTTAACGGTTCCCAACTGGCCGTCACTCACGCCATCCCTGTAGACGAAGATGCGTTGGGGAAGGCTTTTGTTAACCTCATAGAACTTCGCGAGCATTGCTTTGATGCCCGACTCCAGAGTGTTGACGATCTCTTCGTGAGTGTTCTGGAAGTACACCCGAGAGTACCATTGGCTGACGGCCTGGTTGACGGACGCCACCATTCCCACCACCGATTTGCCTCTTTGGGTCGGATCGTGGTAGACGTCAATGCCTACAATCATGCAGGACTTGAACGGTATGGGCAGAGCCCACGGCTGGCCACCGATTTTGCATGACATCTGTATCGCAATCTTCTGGCAAACGGAGCGCATCTTCGCCTCAGTCAATGTGTAGGATCTGACGACTTGACTGGCGATCCCGAGCTCGCAATAGCACAGCCTTTTGATGGCGTTATAGCGGTCTTCGCGCTGCGACGAGCCGGGAGTCATACAGACTATTATTTGGCACTGGGAGGCGTTCGACCCTTTGATGGCATTCACATAACCGGTGGGCGTCTCATCTCTGGCCACGTGTTTGTCGGGATCGGCGAACGTGAAGCCCATCATTCGGGTGACGGCTTTCAAGCACTTTATGAATTCGTCGACTTTTGCCGAGTCTTTCTGCGTGAAGA